GTATTTCCAGCCATATGCGAAGTGTCCTTCGATAATGGTGCCTTTTAAGAATTGGCTGAGTGACTTCCTTAAAAGAAGACCACCAATTTCTTGAGCATCGACAAATTTTTGGAGAAAAGGGAACATTTTGACAGCAGTAACCAACAATACATCTTTATTTACTGTTCTTACTCTAAAAGAATTTTCTTTCAAATGTACTAAACAGTCATTGTAAATCGTAAAACAGACATAAAAACAGATAATTTCAACTTGCCATTTCATTTCTCAGTTCAAGAATCAAAAATAAAACAAGTGATAGAACACTTTCAGCTAAATGTACCGACATCATCTAGGCAAAAGCGAGGGGTTTATGCTTATCCACATGTAAACCAAATTCGAGGTAACAATCATTGTCAACTCGAAGTTGATGCAACCAAAACACCAAAATTCAGAACCCTATGCACAGCCTAGGCAAAGATGCGTTCCGCGACCTGGTCCACCTGGTCCACCAGGCGACCCAGGACAGAATGGCATCGATGGTAACGATGGAAATCCTGGGCGACCTGGTTCTCCGGGAAAAGATGGTTGGTAGATCTTCTTTTTAAAAGCATATGTCTAGTTTTTAAATTTCAGGACTCTCTGAAAACGACAGAGAGCCATGCTGGATTTGTCCGAAAGCTCAACAAGGTCCTACGGGAGCCAGGGGCCCAAAGGGACGTACTGGTCCTGCTGGTGAACCTGGAAGAAACGGTATTTCTCCGTCATCCGTGCCGGGACCACCGGGAGATCAAGGTTTGACGATATAGGCTCCAATGGGGAAAAGACAATATAAGTCATATCCACATCATTTAGGGCCACAAGGTTTTGACGGTCCTCCTGGTTTCCCTGGTCCACGAGGTCAAAGTGGTTATGAAGATGAGGTATACATAACAGGCCCACCCGGACCAACAGGACCACCGGGCCCACCTGGGTTCCCAGGCCCTCAAGGTCGTCAAGGTGCTCAGGGAATACAGGGACCACCTGGACTCCAAACCGGTGACCCCGGCGCACCTGGAACTCCAGGAAGACCAGGAGCAGTAGGAAAGAAAGGGCCGCGCGGACCGAGCGGACCTGGGCCTCAATGCGATCACTGTCCTGTACCAGCGCTGGAGACAGGATTTAGTACAGAAAAAAGCAAATCTGAATATAGGACACTAACTGCGGAAGAAAATGTAGGTTCGGTACAGGTCAATCCCACTGAAAGAACCATTGAAGAACACAGGAACTTGGAGCTTCATTAAGCAATCCTCTACTGAAGGGAATTCAAGTTGATGACGTGATGCTTGTCTGTACATAAATACGTAATTTCATGAAATAACGTAAATTATTGCTATTGTATTTGTGTGCTATTTCTCTTGCATGGATTTTTCTTTGTTTGGAGAGTGATCTCTGCGTCTAACTCTTGCATAAAATATATTCTACATGGGATTCTCTGCTATCTATTCTGAAAAAAATTTATAGTCATGATAAAGTTGTACATGAAAATGAAGCGG